TGGAAGGCAAACAGCTTTATTTATGTCAGTGGGGTGGAGAAAACTTGATTCCAAATCACCAGTCCTGTCTTGGGGTTAAACAGTCACTTATATAGGTCGACAGAAGGAAGTACAAAATGCAGATACAGGATATTTTACAATTGGTTACACACTGTCTTGTCATATATTGCTAGGCAGACTTATTCTAAGCAAGTTAATTTGGGGGTTACTTTTATTTTATTTTATTTTTTTTTTTGGTATGGGAATCAAATGCAGGAACTTGGGCTTGCCAGGCAGGTGCCACTGAGCTATATTCCTGGTCCTTGCGGGGGGGTTACTATTGTATAACAGGGAGGGCAGGGCTAGGGCAAGGAGGGAGAATCAATCATTGTCTATCGAGCTGGTCCTGTCTCTAGGTGATAAGCTCTTAAAACAAGCTAACAAGATGCACTGTCCACTGAGTTACATTTATCTTACAAGCTGCAGCTGGTGTTGGAATGCCAAGGCTAACTGAGTTTTGTTCTTCTCTAATTATGGGAACTGGCTGGTCAGTTTTGGCCTGTCCTTGAATCCAATGTCTAGTTATAAGTTTTGAAACTGCCTTTACACATTAAATCCAGATATGCATCAGACACCCAGGTGGTTGACCAGGACATTTAGGTCAATCCCTTCTCAAAACTGTTCCTGTTTTAGACGTCGTGGGTAAGTGAGGTTATAATGCTAGCCATATGACCTTGCTGCATGCCCTGCTTCCTTACTGGATATTAGCTAAGCAGCTATACTTATCCTCTAGGCTGATTATAGTTTGGCTCAGTTGGTACCCACATTGTGACTTTGCTGTATAAACTACCCCTGACAGAGGGCCACAGTGGCAACCCACTCAAGACCCCTCTTGTCTCTCAGGAGCTATTCCTCTTCTCCAATAAATCTTTTCTACTCTTAACCTCCTTTGTCCTTTGGAATTCATTCTTTGATTTTAGAGGGCATGAACTTGGCACATCTTACATCTAGGAGGTTGGGAATTATATTTCTCCCATATCATTAGGTTAGGTATTTAGGAGATGATTAAGTCATGAGAGTAGATACCTCATGTAAAGTATTTATCCTATATATTATTTTTTTTTTTTT